GGAACTTTTCCATCAGTGGAAACTCTTCTAATAACATCTGGTGTAGAGAATAATGAAGTCATGTCAGACAAAAGAGCAGTAACATGAGCAGGTGTTTTCTTTTCCTTTTTAATTGGCTTAGAAACTTGTTTAATAACCACTTTATTGGAATCATTGCTAGATGGGACAGTAGTTGAAATCTTTGATGATGGTAACAAGCTTTCCAAATCCACATCAGAGGAATCTTTCTTTTCTGTAATGTTCTTTTGCAGTACTTTTTCTTTAATGTCTTTTTTAAGAACATTTCTATTAGACTTCAGTTTAGTTATCAATTTAGGCTCAACCTTTGAAACTTTAGGTATGGCAACAGTTTTTAATATGCGTGGTTTCAATTTGTTTTTCTTAAGTCTAAGAGAACCTGTTCTATCTTTAGTGTCTTTGTAGTCAGAATCTGAGTCTCTATCAGGAATGCTATCACCAGATGAGCCTATAGAAGAGGATTCAGTACTGTCATCAACCTTTTGTAAAGCTTGAGAAGGTTTTTCCAGTTCCCTGCTATCTTTAGGTTTGTTTATGATAGGCAGTGGCTTATGTAGCACATCATTTCCTTTTAATATTATTGGAGTTTCTGTTGGATTTATAACTATCTTTTTACCTTTGGGTATAATTTTTTGTTCCAAAATAGTAATTTTCTTGGAATTGGGTACAGGTTTAGGTGGTGGAGTATGTGAGATCTGAATAACGGATTCATCATAACTTGATAAATTATCATTATTTTGAGGTGTTGAATGACTGGGGGATTTGAGTGGCGTATAGCAGTGATCATTTTGGAATCCTACTAAACTGTTTTCTCTTGTTTCTATTCTTAGTGACTGCAGCATTTCAGCACCACTGTCTGTAAGCATCAAATAAAATATTTAGAGTGAATTTCAACACTAACTCATTAACTTACAAACTTTTGAAAATGTTGTTACATTGTTTACATCCTTCCATCAAGGAAATTGTATCAAATTAAAAATGAGTATTACTTACCATACTTTATGATACTGTTTGGTTCGTCGTAATAACTATCAACAGAGAGTGTCACATGAGGTACTTTTTCGTCATCAGATTCAGAGTCAGTTGCATCATCGGGTTTACCTTCATGGCCAACACGAACAACACTAATGCCAGTGCTTTGAGATCCATCCGTACCTTAAATAATTTTAATTATAAAAAAATAGCCAAACTACAACCAAATAACAATAATAAAAGTCATTAAAGTTTTGGCGCCAAAATGCATTTATAACATAATCTTAACAGAATGATAAAGTAATTAGATATTGATGTATAAAACCTATACGATTCTTATCTCACGTAAATTTTATTCCTCAAAACTCATCAGAAATTGATTAGCTCTCCTTTCCAGAAGACCAAATAAAAAATACGTACTAGGTGAATAAAATTGTGCACACCAAATTGCGACTGTTTGTTTAGATTACTTACAACTTTGAAATGTTGTGTGTATAGTTATTTTATGATATATTAGTAAAGTAAATATTCGTTTCCAACACGTACCCATCAATGTTCCAAGTAATTTCTGATCAACAGAGAGGGATCCATCCTTGTTTACAATAACAACAACAGAACTATCAGCTTTCGTGGAAGGTCCATTAAGATCCGTGTAGTTAGTTATTACTGTGTTTGACATTTTTCATTGCAATTCATGCAGCCATTATAATTAAATTTCTCTATTTATAGCCATTTAAGACACATGCAGCGCGTCTATTTATGACGCATCCAAACCCAACGCGCTTGACGCCATCTTGAACTCAACCATTGGATTGAATGGCCGCACCGCGGCAAACAAATTAGTTGTTTTCCTCGCAATCGTAAGATTCGCTTCCGAAATTAAATACAACTAACAAAATAATAATGATATTCCTTTCAACTGATAAACATTCCGAGGAAAAGGGCAATTTAATTTCAGAAAACGCACAGTTTCCAGTGACAAGTAGTTTTTTTTTCGCATATTTTTTTTATGTAGTTTGGGGTAGGAGTCTTTTGCCGTAAAATATTTTATCTGTATCAATTTACACATAACCCCATGCAGGATTTCCGTACTTTGAACAGACTGAATCCATCCTACATGCATATCTTTGCTCCCAGTGTTAAACACAGACTATTATAAACAAGTCAGGTATAAAAATTGTGTATATCGTATAATTGTTTACGTATGTACGTAATATTATCGATTAACCAATATTTTCATTTGTATTATATTATCGCTTACTTATTCAAAGTGATGGATATGCAAGGTACCTATATTTTTTTTAAATTGGGTTTTTATTAGACATTGCAGAGCCCAAGTTTGGGAAAGTTATTAGACTCTAAGTTATGCTACTATTTTGGGGTGTCGGTAACGAAGACAGCGAACTACCTGTTCCGGTTATTCCCGAAATAATAGATATTTCCCTGCCAATGCCTATGCACTATCCAGACAAGACAAGACTTTCTGGAATACCTGGATGCTATTTAAGCCAGCAGCGTTAAAGTCTATTCTACAATTTCACCACCAGAAGGAACTGTCGAAGTGCAGACAAATGTGATCTTATTTACTGTTGCACCAATCAGACACCCAATCCCGATCTTAATCCTGTTATTTACAAAGAGACGCGAGCCTAGTATTTCCGTATCTTATTCGGAGATCAAGCTAGAACACGTACCGTCTCGTATCACTCTTTATGGTTTGAGTTAAACCGCCATGTTGGTAGCCGAAGCTTGTTTACTCAAATCGAAGTGCATATCGCATGGCTATGAGTCACATGAATAAGCCTCAAGAGGTTATTAATTTTCGGGCACGCTCTTATGGAAGCGGTAAGACCTCTCCTTGAGGAGAAGGCTAGAAAGACGCTTTGGCGTCGTCACCTTCCGCCTGCCTGACACAAGTGCTTACTAGGTACGACTGCTTTGGTAGGTTCCTGTTTCGGATCCAGCGGAAGGAAACGGCTGGGTATCGTCATTGTGAGGACCACCTGGAAGAAATGGATACCGCCATATCCTCAGGGAAGTAATCGGCAGTGGTGATCTCTCGCATCTGTATTCGAGGCCATGGCGAGAGGAACTGGGAGGCCGTGTTCTCTTTTTACGAAGCAGTGACTCTTGCAAAGGAAGAGGCGGAGCTCGTGAGGTAACTATCCTCTTCAAGCCGATACTCCGGGTGTCGAGGACCAAGCGACCATGTCCAGCCAATTAATTTAGTTACCTTTTAAAAAATCGACTATTTATCAACTACTATTAAAATTTGATGTATTAATACTGATTTCACCTTGCGATAAAATCTCAACACTAAGCCCACTAAGCCTTTTTAGGGTACCTATACTTTATCAAAATGACGTACCTACATTGTGTTATTTATTGTCAATCGGATTTATTATTCTGTCCTAACAACACCATGGTTTCCGTTTCCTTAATGCCACCCAATGAGACACCAAAAATGTTTTGTAGGTTATAAATTTTCAGGTCAAACTATTACCACATTCTCGGCATAAGCAAAACACATACATGCACCATCTCGCTTAGAGCGAAAGAGAAAAAAGAATTCGGATGTTAAACAAGTACTATTGTTAATTCGGCGTTGAGTTGTCACTTGTATGTCAAGACTTGTCACTTCGTCCTTCCTTGCTTGTCTGCCATGCCACTGGGCATAGTTATTGCTTTCACTTGATACTTTAACAATAAATCGAGACAGTGACAAATACAAACAGCAAAATGAGTTATTCCAAATTCGACTTGACCTTTAAAATAGGTCAATACCTTGATCGGCATTTGGTATTTCCGTTGCTTGAGTTTTTAGCTGCTAAAGAGGTAAAAAACCTAAGTTAACCTGTTTCTTCTTCTTCATTATGATAATATAATATGTTTAATCTTTTAGATCAATACATTTTATGTGTTTGTTTTCAGACATATGATCAGTCGGAGCTTTTGCAGGCTAAGTTAGAAATTCTTAGCAAAACTAACATGATTGATTATGTTATTGACATTAGGAAAATGTTATACCCTGATGAGGACACCCCTGAGGTACGTTATGGTTAATTATACATGTAACTTTCATATTATACTTTAAAATATTCATGGTACTAGAAATAAATTGATGTAAGTATAGTAACACTAAAAAATATAATAAAGAGCTCAATCAAGCCAAAATTTTCTAGTATACTTTGGTATCTGGGACATCTTTGCTGCTATGTTGTGTGTTAGTATTACTACTACTGCTATAATACTTCTAAAAATAATGTTGTGTAAAATGGAAATAAATGAATGAACCCTTTTTATTTTCAGGAAATTAAAGCAAGAAGAGGTGTAGTCCTTTCCCAGCTTCAAGAACTTCAAGATGCTGTGGAACCAGTGTTGAGACTTATGCAGAGGGATGATGTGATGAAAACAGTGGAAACTATGAGGGACCCCAAAACTCTTATTAATCATCTTACAACTAACAAGGAGTTTGAGGTATGAAGAATCTTTAGTTTTATATTTCTTTAGTTAGTTTGTAACTCTGATCTTGAATAACACACTTTTTTAAGAATTCCAGTTAAGTACATCAAGTTATTTAACCTTTGGTGGCCTGTAGGTTAAGGCCTTCCATGGGTGTAGTTGCGGGTTTGTTAAATATTGGCAAGTACCAATATAACTTTTCCCGAGTTATAAGTCTGTTCTTTGATTATAAAGACACCACTGACATATGGTAAAAGGAAACAACATAAAGAAAACTGGGCTTATAATTTCTAATTATATGTTTGAAATTGCCAATCCACCTTGAGTGCTTGCTCAAGGTGGATTGGTGATGAATGCTCAAACCTTCTCTGTGTGAAAAGAAATATATGCTGATGGTGATGATGTTCATTATTTAAGTAAAATTTAATTCTTAATATTTTACTTTACAGTTTAAAATTGAGATGATTGATAGCATGTATCGGCTAGCCAAGTATCGCTATGAGTGTGGTAACTATGTGGAGTCAGCTTCATACCTTTATTTCTGCCAACTGGTCATGTGCCCTACAGACAAGGTAAGACTTCATGAAACAATAAACAAAGATCTGGTTACACTTATTATTTTATTTTAATAAAAATACCTATTACATACAATACAAAGTCTTCAAATTATGGTGTTATTTGTACCATCATTATTCTTCTTTGGACTTAATAATTTCTTCATTTTTACTAATATATATTTCATTTTCATTTGAAACATAATTGTTTGCACTCTCTGTTATAGCATTATCCTGCAATTAAAATAAGTTGTGCATAATTTATTGGGTGCAGTTATGACCATTAAGGAATACTAAATATTTTAATACCTACATTAGATTCATAATTTGATCTAAATTTGAGCATGAATGCAACTTGAAATATATATATATATATATATATATATATGTATATAGATATATAATTATAAACTTAAAAGCACACATCACAAATCTACAAAAAAGAAAAGACAGGCTTATAGCTATAGAGTATACATGGGAGAAATAAATAATAAATATACACACTGTTCTGCATGGTATCCCTCCATCATTTTTGGAATGGTATTGATTCTTGTGTGCTTTAAGTGGAGATACGGAGGCATACCATTGCCCACAAATTTCACATTGATAAACCAGTATACCTAAAGATTTACTGTTGTCTTGATTGCAATGTGTTTTAGTCATGAAGTGACCCACTTTGTATCTGCATGAAAATAATTATATTAATAAAATATATCACCCTAAATTGTATTCAACATTGTAAGTGTTTATGTTGCAATGCCTACCTGTGATTGTACAATTGTTCATAATTCCTGAATTTACGATCACATAAGTTGCAAAGTAGTAGTTTTGGCAGTGAAAAACTGTAATACATATTCAACCACGGACATATCAACCAATGTTGTTCTGCTGTTTTATATGACACAAATGCCATTTCACAAGCAGTGCACTCATAATTGTTTGCAGTTGTATGAATTTTAGAGTGACGAAGTAGTCTAGGAATGCTTGTAAAAACTTTTTCACAAAATTCACATTGCAGCAATGAAGAGGTTTTAATCTCTCGAACATAATCAGTATTATTTGATTTACAACATTCAGTAGAATGTTTTAAAGCTTGATCTTGGGAAGGCCAGACTTGAAAGCACTGAATACAGGTCCACACCACTTGCCAACGTGGTAGCACATCGGCCATTGCGTGTCTCATTGAGTAATGTCTTCTCAAACCAGTTTCATAAACAAAACATTTGCCACAGGTACTACAAGGAAATGATCTTATAGATTTTGGGCAAACAATATCTAATATTTCTTTCTTCTTTGTATAGTTCAAGGTTCTGTTGAGCATGTGAATATTTTCCATAATACGTGCATTATTCTCTTTCACTTTTTCAAGACTATGTTCTAATGGGCTCAAATAATTTTCTGCATTTAATAATTTGTATTTATTTTTTAAATAAAACGGTAATGGAAGTTCATTTTCGAGCTGTGTATTAATTGAAAATGTTGACTGATTAGCATTTAATATGTCTCTTGATTCATCTTCATGATAACAATCTATGCTCTGAGCCTTTTCACTTAATTTATGTTCAGATTTGTACTGTGTCGAAGTATCAAAAAAAATATTGTGTATGTAAGATTCTGGCGAATCAATTTCTATAGCATTTTCGTCTAGATTAAATTTATCAGTCTCATTTCCCGACACAATTTTCACTACTAGACGTGACGACTTATCAATATCTTTCTTTTTCTCTTGTAATTTATCGTCCAACCACTCACTATAACTTATTTTTGGCGAATTTTCTTCGTGTTCAAATGTAACATGTAAAGATTTAACATTAAGACCAGATGCTTCAAATTTGTGAATTATTAATTTTGATGAAGCTGACATTTTTGGTAAATGCCACACAACAGATTAACTTTTTTATTTTTTAGTGTCATATCTGAAAAATAAAGTAGGTACATATATAAAATAAATAAAGAGGCTTTATAGCTTTGCCATAGATTAAAGCAAGTTATACAATTCCTATGGGGATAAACAATATAACCTCAAATAACAAAAAAGCCGTGTTTTGTTTGTTTTAATATAAGCTAATTTTTAATAATAATTATTTTTCAGAATTACCTATCTGTACTATGGGGTAAGTTGGCAAGTGAAATTTTGGTACAAAATTGGGATGGGGCCTTGGATGATCTAACAAAATTGAGGGAGTTTATTGACAACGGTGGCGCTGGCGCGACTGCTAACAACATGCAAGCCCTTCAGCAGCGTACTTGGCTAGTTCACTGGTCACTTTTCGTATTTTTCAACCACGTAAAGGGCCGTGACCTTATTATTGAAATGTTTTTGTACAAGCCTTTGTAAGTAAAATACCTATATTTAATTTATAGTCAGTACACATAATTTTTTAATGTTGATATTGATATGTTATATTTTGCTTTAAGGTACTTGAATGCTATACAAACTATGTGCCCCCATATCCTCCGATATTTGGCAACTGCTGTTATTATAAATCGGTCCAGAAGAAATGCTCTGAAGGATTTGGTCAAAGTTATCCAGCAAGAAGCTTACACTTACAGGTAATGTGAAAACTACCTTGTACTTATATTTTTTCTTGGAAAAAGTAACAGACGAAACTTATAAATGTTAAATGTTTCTACACATTTGTCATCCCAATTATCTTATAACTTATTAGTGTCATGTTATTGGGATACAGAATATGCCATTATGTATACTACTAGGCAGTTGCAATGGCATCTAAAGGAAAGGAATCAATGAATAAATGTATAACAATAAATAATAAGTTGATCGAAAATCGATTGTAATGTATTTTAATTTTATAGGGACCCAATCACGGAGTTTATTGAGCATCTCTATGTAAACTTTGACTTTGAAGCGGCTCGCAGGAAACTCAACCAGTGTCAAGCAGTGCTGTTGACTGACTTTTTCTTGATAGCTTGTTTGGAGGAATTTGTTGAAAACGCTCGACTTATGATTTTCGAAACATTCTGCCGTATTCATCAAGTTATCAGTATTGGGTATGTCTTTTAATTTTAATTAATGTTAAAATACAATTTTAAAAACCACCCTTGATCATTTACTTATCTATTGATTTTAGAATGTTAGCAGAGAATTTAAATATGCAGCCAGATGAGGCTGAATGTTGGATTGTGAACTTGATCCGTAATGCCCGCCTCGACGCCAAGATTGACTCTAAATTGGGTCATGTCGTGATGGGCGCGCAACCATTGTCTCCGTACCAACAACTTGTAGAAAGGATTGACTCTTTGGCTGTTAGATCCGAAGCTCTAACTTCATTAGTGGAACGCAAGCAAAAAGCTCGTAATCAAGATGTAAGTTTTTATGAATGTATACCTACTTAGTATTATTACTTGCCCGACTGTCATTTTGCAGTTGAAAATAAACGACAAATTTATTTTTCAGATTCGTTGGGGAGCTCAAGAATTTTAGTAATGAACTTAAATTCGTTAATTTCAATATCATAATTTCTCTATAAGCAAGAATAGTTTTTTCCGCGGAACTAACCATTGCTCTTCAGCTCATCTATGAAGCAGTTTTTATTAAATATACATATTTATACTAGATCTATCTTTTTATTTTTAATCCATAACGAATTAAATTCCATCACATAAAACAAAGAAGTAGTACTGTAAAACAGTGCATTCAAACAGTTTTCGGCTTAAGTCTTAAGAAATCTTGAAAGCAGTTTTATTGTAACAACAGCTGTGTACGGTGCAACCGCACATCAGCATTTTACGCCACTTACATTACAATTCATTATAAATACGTTCAGTTCGCGTTGAGCCACCAAGCTAGCTAAGCGTTCCCATTACAGCCGACAAGGGCTACGTCACTCATATCATTTCCGCACAGTCCATTAAGCTCATTTTACCTTCTAGTACATTTTGGTCAATAAGTACAGTAGTTTTCAATAACTTACTTAACTTTCTTTTATTCCTTTCCACTATTATCTTAAATAGTGTACGGTCTAGCAAGAGACTATACAAGCTGCTTTCTTTGTTTTGAGTGTAATAGTTATTGTCTTACTTGTAAAACTATTAATAAAATTGTGCAGTATGCTAAATTATATTTCGACATAGAGATATGGAGAAGAGAGGAAACCTGAACTTATATTTTCAAATTATAAGGTTTAAATTGCCAATAAGCCTTGAGCAAGTCTGATGATTTTTCTTACACATTCTCAATCTGAAACCAAGCCTTTGCTCAGTTGTGTACACTTAAAGGCTGATGATGATGAAAATAAAATTACCAAACTCTAAAAATAGTGACAGATTCTTACTGACTCAAAACCCCCCCGTTCCTTCTCCTGCTCTGAGCCGCGGTCGCGGTGCCTCGTTGCGCTTACTCCGCATCCCCGGCTGAACATCAGCCCTATAAGGCCCCGTCTGTGGTGGTCTATTGACTCTGAGGCACGCGCGGAACGCTACGAGCCGTCCGCTTGGGTCTGGATCTGGTCGGGCGCTACTTGCCCTCCGAAGACCCGCGCTTACGGTGGCCGGAGATCGTCTCTCGATCCTCGACGGATGATTGCCTACTGCGGCGGCTGGGCCGTGAGGAGGAAAGTTCCCTCACGTGCTCCGCCTCCTCATTTGCGAGCATTACTGCTTCGCAGAAAGAGGAGACGGCTTCCCAGTTCCTCTCGCTACGAACCATGGCCTCGACTAAGGCCAGGCGCGAGAGGTCGCCGCCACCGATCACTTCCCTCCGGACAGGGCGGTGCTCAGCCCAGGCAGGTCACACCGCCACCGTATCCTCTAGGTGGTCCTCATAATGATGACACTCGGGCGTTTCCTCCAACTGGATCCGAAACAGGAACCTACGGAATCTGCCGTGCCCGGTAAGCATCTGCGTCAGGCGGAAAGTGAAGACGCCGTGGCGTCTCTCAAGCCTCTCCTCAAAGAGGGGTCTTACCGTTGCCATAACAGCGTGCTCGGCCCTCGACCCATCCCCAAAATCTTCAAATCCCCAAAAGGACGGCAACGCACTCGTGACTCCACTATTGTTACATCTATGGGCGGGGCTGATTGATTACCATCAGTTAATGTACGAGCTCGTTTGCTGACCAATCGCAAAAAAAAAAAAAAAATACCTCCGTTTTTTTTGTATAATATTTTTTTTTTTGGAGTTTATGGCCTTGTATAATATTTCAAACACTTCAACCACAGTAAAAATATAGATATTATTACCTTGCTTCAACCCATCAATTCAAAACGATTTTCCTAGAAAGTAACTTATTTTTTATCGAACTATTGGAAAACCAGCCCTAAATGTAAAAAATCGCAAAAGTAGATCTTTATAAAAACTTTTGAACTTGATGGGTTGAAGTGTTTGAAATATTATACCTACAAAAATAAACTGATTTAAGTAATTTAGTTTCTTTTTTGTAGTATACTTATGGTTCAAAAGTTAAAGGGGGGACATTTTTGTATCCCTTTGGAGTGATAATTTCCGAAAATATTATCATTGTCTAAAATGATCTTAGTAACCTATTTATCAACAGACTTCATTTTTAACTCCAACTATCCAACAACTTATCACACATTCGGGTTGTATGAACGTGAACTAACACTTCCCATTTGACGTATAGGGGATAGTTTTTCGGCATGTTGGTGCCAAATTATATTTTCTATCTTAATGCAAATTTCAGTTTTCAAGAGCTAACTATTTTATGTTTAAAGTTAAGAGCTAGCTAAACCTATAAATGGTTTAATAAGTAGATAAGTAAGCACTGAATTTTGTACACAATAATAGGGCTGAAATCTTCTGTATGGAAAAAAGCCCTTTTAATAAAATAAAGATTTAAAAAAAAAAAGATCTAACTATCACTAGGTTTATCCGCGGACGGACAGACAGACAGATATGGCAAAACTTAAGGGTTCCTAGTTGACTACGGAACCCTAAAAACGGTTAGGTCCATAAATTCGCGGGATTTCGGAAACAACTCTTCTTCATTTTATATAAGAAAATAAAAACATTTTTTTAACAATTTATTAAAGCATTTTTAATCTGTAATTTCAGACACATATAAATAACTACCATACATTCTACTCTACAGGTTTAATGGTAATGAACCTGGATAAAATAAAGGCAACCATTATTGTTGATAAAACAAAGAATACAACAAAAATGTAAAATGTGTCCTCTGAGAAGACATCAGTGAATGCTGGTATCTGATTATATAACTCTTCAACCACATTGAGGTTACCCTTACTTGATCTTGTCATTGTAGTAATCGTATTTACTTCTTTTTAATCTTCTTCTTTTCGGTTTTTGTTTGGATTGTAGCAGCTGGCTGTTCAACAGGTGCTAATGATGAAATATGTTTGTTCAACAACTGAAGAATTTCTAAACAAGTGAGATTCCCACTTTTTATTGTAATATCTTTAACTTTGGCTGTTTCTGAAAAAAAAAGAATATTGTGTGAAAAAGAAATTTACCAACTTTATGTACTTCAGAAAGTTATAGAATTGGATTAAAAATGGAAAACATCTTATAATTCCATAGTTCAGGTATTTTAGTAATATTTAAATGTTTTATAGTAAGTACAACACCAAAAATTACAAAATTCAGTAGTTTACAAGCTTAGATAAATAATTTATGATAATATTGAAATTCTAAATTTAACCATTTGATGGTCATGTACAGGTATAGGTTACAAACCAGATATAGGTACTTAATAATGACATTTTCTGGTTGGCTATGATCAACATTGGCGAATTACGAAATACCTTATTTAACATTTGTCTTCTATAGCTTAACATGGCTGTCAAAAGGTTAAAAACATTTTGCAATGCAAAATAAGATAGTGTAGAACAAATAGATAGTGAATGAAATGTTAATCTTTATATATAAAAATGGATCACAAAATGTGTTAAGTGCATAACTCAACAATGCCTGGACCAATTTTGTTAATTATTTTTTTATTGTTTGTTATTGTCAGGAGAAGGTTCTTATCAAAGAAATTATTAGAAAAGTAGAGGGGAAGATTAGGAAAAGTGACCTTGTGATAGCGAGATAGTTGGACCCATGAGAAGCGGGGGAGGGCCGCTAGTATAAAATAAAATTGATGCAATATAATAATTACCTGCTATAGAAGGTACTAGAGATATATTAACTGTAGGCTCACTCCGGTCGCAAACAATTTCTGTCTTCAAAGTACAGTTAGGATTTGTTAAACCTATTTTCTGTGAGCTAATGTAGTGCAGGAAATTCCTAAGAAAGCATTATTTATTATCACGTTAATATATTATAGTATGTTGTGCAATTATAACTAATAATTATTATTTAAGGGATGTGAACAAAGTTGAAATATATATTTGGAACCGTGAATAATTGAGAATTAAGTACTCCCAAGCTCTAAGAATCTAAAATTTGTTTTTATAAATTTTACAATTCTGAAGGAAAATGATGAATGAAAAATATTAAATGTTGACTGACAGAGCAAGTAATATAAAAAATCTGTAGGATAAAATCAGCCACAGCCAACAACAGTATTGGACTAAGGTTTCATCTAAACAATCAGATTTAAGACTATAAATTGGACCGTGTTGTGCCAAATCATACCAATCCACATCAACCTTATTCTGAGATATTTAAGTTTTAAGTTTGACATGACATAACTATTGTTTTTTATTTAAATAACTCTCCAAAATATATATCAGTATGAAGATATGGAAGTTCTGTTTTAGATTAAGATACAAACAATCAATAATTTAAAGTAAAAAAAAAGAAAAGTGTATTTTCTCACTTGGTATATTTTGACATAATAGGATTTCTCATACTAATGACAATTAATAAATAAGTCCAAAATGTACCAATAACATTTTCTTTTGTATCTATTTTTTTTTTCAATATTTTGGGGTTTACAATCCACCTAAGTACTAAATAAATAAACCATTTATGGAAAATAATAAAAAGAATGTCATTTATTATGTTATTATATTCATACAAAATTATGAACAACAAGATCATTCTTGTGGTTCATGGCTCCTCGACTAGAGTAGGTATAGATGATATTCTATTGAACAATACAAAAAGTACAATATTATTTAAAAAAACTGCTTAAGGTAACACAGTACAAACAGTATTTACTAAAAGAAATGAACTTAATCTTAAATAAACTATGTCTCTTCTAATTCAAAGTCGGGTATAGTCCCGTACCCATCCAAATCATCTAGAATTTGATCGTTGCCTCGTAAATTCTCGTAAAAAGCACGACAGTCAGCGGGAATAAGATGCTCCATGGACCGGAGATCGTTGAGTTTCGCTTGCGCAATCTCTTTGCCATCTGGCCACAATTGAACCAATTCGCTCATTTGGTATGTTTAACCAATATCGTTTGCAGTTTGCTAATATACCAAGTGCTTTTGGTACATTCAAGCAATATTGTTTACGCTTAGGACAACATATACCAAGTGCTTTTGGTATGTTTAACCAATATCGTTTGCAGTTTGCTAATATACCAAGTCATTTTGGTACATTCAAGCAATATCGCTTACAGCTTAAGGCGAGTTCCAAACGGCATGTCTTGAATTGACCAAAAAAAAAATGTTTATTCATATTGTGGGTTGGTTCCAGATACCTTTTATTTTTTAATAACTTCAGCTATATGTGTCAGATTGAAATCAAACTTAGCCACATGAATTTAGAGGTGATTTTACGTTGGATGATGTATATAACTCAATTTTGACGAAATTGTGGATTGGTATGATTTGGCACAACACGGTCCAATTGCAGTACTGAATTATTGGTATTTAGGTTAGAAATCAGTTTCCCATTTTTTAAGTCTTTTCAAAAGATGTAAAAATATTACACTCTCATAGGGGTTAATAGTGTTTGACTGGCCCTTGAGCCTTTGTAATGATTAGTAAATTGACCTATTTTTATAATTTGGTTTTTCTCACCTTGTATGAGTTACATTATCGCTAAATGGATCAAATTTAACTGTTATTCTCTTAGCAGCTTTTAAATTCACTCCTCTTAGCTGTTTTCCTATGGCAGAAACTACTCCTCCAGATCTCCGTAACGTACCGCTATACGGGATAGACATATTATTTCCAAATTTATACCTAGGTAGCTTTGTACAGTTTGATCAATAATTTTATATAGGGTAGTTTCATACACTCGCATTATAAAAATACAACACTTGCTAGAGGGGCGCACTAATAGTGATTATGGTGAGTGTACACTTAAGTATTGATGGCGTTAGGGATTTCTAATCACTTTCCGACCAACAACCACGTGTCAGACAATATTTTGATTTCCCTACATTATTTTCAACTTTTTGTTTGACCATTTGGCGAACACGTGCCTGTTAGTTGGTTTAATTTCTTTTTTTTAGAACATTTTTGACTTTGCGTAGTTAAAGAACTAAAATTTTGTATGAAATTAATCTAATAACTCTTAGTCGATTTTGAAATTTGAATATCATTTCTACTAGTCATAACATTTGCATGAGATTTTTGATTTACAAGTTATAGGTAATTTATTATTTGCCATTTTGCCCCTTTTGTCTCCCTGCCGTTGCTAGAAATAAAGTATGCAATAACATTATATTTTCTATGGTTAAAGTCTACAATCGACTAAACACAATAAAACACTCTAGATTTAGTCTCTGCTTTAACTCTACATAAATACCACACTATCACACTACGTCATAAAGCATTAGATTAGGGCGACGAATTAGAAAATACTTTGACACTTTCTACAATTTTTTAATTATTATTCTATTTTTCACTTTGTTGCTATTACTTACACAAAAATTTGTGTTTGTTTTAAGTTTTAAGCTTTTGTTGGTATAAAACTTAAAGCAGGATGTACCCCGTTGGTCAAGGTAGGTGTTACAGGTACTCTATGGGAGCTCTACTTTGTTTGATTGTTCTAAATAATACCGCAATGCAAAACTCACAAGTATCACGATGTAATGGCAATATTCTTGTTATTTATGCAAGTTTTAAAACTAAATTCGAGTATGTTTACATTACACAGCTCCAGCGGGGGACACGAATGCTGGTGCGGTGAGTGTAGCGGGGGCAGTGACCGCGGCTGCGAGCACGACTGGTGCTGCGCCCGGAGTCCCCAGCACTGCCCCCGCCACCGGAGCGACCGCTCCTGGTGCTGCTGGGGGTGCTGGCGCCATGAGCCTCGTGTCACCCGCAGCACCTCTGGCAGATTTACCAACTCTCACATGCCCGCGCCGCCCCAATCTCGGCCATGAAGGAAGACCTATCATGCTGCGAGCAAACCATTTTCAGATATCAATGCCTAGAGGATTTGTTCATCATTATGATGTAAACATACAGCCAGATAAATGTCCCAGAAAGGTGAGGTCCAGTTCATTGACAATAATGATTTTATTTAAATGTACTTCATTGACTATTCAATAATTTTGATTGTGCATGCAGTCCTTTTTACATTAATGCATATTGTAATCCTTAAGTAATAAAATTATTTGTGTACATCTCCAGAACTATTTCTTTGCTATTATCTTATAAACATGTTTTTGTATTTATTTTTGTAGGTGAATAGAGAAATTGTTGAAACTATGGTTCACTGTTACAACAAAATATTTGGAGCATTAAAACCAGTATTTGATGGCAGGAATAATTTATATACAAGAGATCCTTTACCAATTGGCAATGACAAAGTTGAATTGGAGGTTATATTACCTGGTGAGGGTAAGGACAGAGTGTTCCGTGTCAGCATCAAATGGGTTGCACAGGTTAGTAAATAGACTGTATAACATTAATAATTTATGTTATATTATATTTGATTGGTTTTTGAAGCCTATGCATTTATTAAGGTTGTGATTTACAAAATTTATTATACATGGGTGTTTTACTGGTCAATGGGGTGCTTTTGGTTAATAGAACAAACATTAGTGTTTTTGATAACAATGATTTCTTGGGTTTTAATTTGGTATCAGCTGTTTGTTTATTTTATTATATTGTGTTATATGTAGAGAATGTAGATAAGTGTGACACCGTGTATTTCCTATTGTGTCTCACATACCAGTGGATGGGAAGCTAAGTGTCATACCTAGAGTTACATTTAGTATTATCATAATATGTTATAACCTAACACCTCATAATCTGTAAACTGTTATTGATTAGATTGACAAAAATAATTTTCTTCTAGGTGTCATTGTTTGCTTTAGAAGAGGCTCTTGAAGGTAGAACCAGGCAGATACCATATGATGCCATCTTAGCATTAGATGTGGTGATGAGGCATCTTCCATCCATGATGTACACTCCTGTGGGACGTTCATTTTTCTCTTCACCTGAGGGGTACTACCACCCTCTTGGTGGTGGTAGGGAGGTATGGTTTGGTTTCCACCAATCTGTAAGACCCAGCCAATGGAAAATGATGCTTAATATTGATGGTATGTCATTAATTTTAATCATTATCTGATTTCACATTAAACTTGTTACAAAATAAATGATTACTTTTGGCCATTTATAATTAATAATTAATTAAAATACAATTTCAGCGAATGCTTAATTATGATGCTATTTAAACAACTGCTTTTTACCTATACAGATTCAATGGTCAAACTAAATATTAAATTATATGATTTATAGATGTGATAAATGAATTATTTTTACTTTCAGTTTCTGCAACTGCCTTTTATAAGGCACAGCCAGTCATAGAGTTTATGTGTGAAGTCCTTGACATACGAGATATTAATGATCAAAGAAAGCCACTGACGGACTCTCAGAGAGTTAAATTTACAAAAGAAATTAAAGGACTTAAGATTGAAATTACTCACTGTGGCACCATGAAGAGGAAATATAGAGTATGTAATGTGACCCGACGTCCCTCACAGATGCAATCGTAAGTCATTCTTTGATGTTAGAACTACCATGTCTTCTTATATGAAAATACAATATTACTTAAATGTTAAATTGTTTCGGTAAAAGTGACATAAATGTTCATAGAAATATGTTTTGTTACACATTAATTAGCTTGGCTAATCATTCAAATTAAACACAGGAAAACAGTTTCCATTATCAATCAGGTGTAATTTTGGCTGTATTTTCTACAGATTTCCTCTTCAGTTAGACAATGGACAAACAGTAGAATGTACTGTAGCAAAATATTTCTTGGACAAGTATAAGATGAAGTTGAGGTACCCTCATCTGCCCTGTCTACAAGTAGGTCAAGAGCATAAACATACATACTTGCCACTGGAGGTCTGCAATATAGTGCCTGGACAGAGATGTATTAAAAAGCTAACTGATATGCAAACATCTACTATGATTAAAGCTACAGCACGATCTGCTCCCGACAGGTAATTTTCATATAACACACAATACAACTGGGTTTATATTATTTTATTTAAAATGTTTTCTTAAATCTCCAAAATAGGGAACGAGAAATCAATAATCTGGTGCGACGAGCGAATTTCAACACTGACTTGTATGTGAAGGAATTTGGTTTAACGATCTCAAACAATATGATGGAGGTTCGCGGCCGAGTATTGCCACCACCCAAGCTACAATACGGTGGCCGCGTTTCCTCGCTAGGCGGGCAGGTAAATATAACGATTTTTACACATATTCCATTAAGATATTATGTTAAGCAATTATGTAATATAAAGTTAATGAATGTATTGTAAATTGAAAATATTACTGATTGAGAATCTTCGTAAGTTGTAATAGATTTTCATTGTTGGTTTTATTATAGCAAGCTTTACCAAATCAAGGAGTGTGGGACATGAGAGGCAAGCAGTTCTTTATGGGCGTTGAGATACGAGTGTGGGCCATTGCTTGCTTTGCTCCACAGAGAACTGTTAGAGAAGATGCTTTGAAGTAAGTTCTTTAGTGTACCTTAATGCCATTACTTGTGATAGCATGTGCAAGAAATATTCTGATTCAGTATACATAATTATGTAAAATTTACCAAAGTAAACACATTGTATCCTGCAAAACACAGTTATACCAATTATAAAATACCTTTTGTCTGTTTATAGGAATTTCACACAGCAGCTACAAAAGATATCAAATGATGCCGGGATGCCGATCATCGGGCAGCCGTGCTTCTGCAAGTATGCGACGGGGCCTGACCAAGTGGAACCCATGTTCAAGTACCTCAAGAGCACATTCGTACAGTTGCAGCTTGTTGTTGTTGTATTGCCAGGGAAGACTCCAGTCTATGGTAAGTGTTTTATAAATAAAATTCACTTGTAATGATAATAATCTCGCTCATAGTGTTTTATTATTTTCTGTTTAATTTATAGCTATAGTAATTATCCTATATGTTATAAATATATGCCCCATAGCAATATATTTTTTTTCTATCTACAGCTGAAGTGAAGCGTGTTGGTGACACCGTATTAGGGATGGCGACACAATGTGTTCAAGCGAAGAACGTGAACAAAACTTCGCCACAGACCCTAAGCAATTTGTGTTTGAAGATAAACGTAAAACTTGGCGGCATTAACTCTATCCTGGTTCCATCACTTCGTCCTAAGGTGAATTGGCTAACTTGTATCATATAAAATATTCATTACTTTTTAATTTTAATGTAAAACATTTTTATTGATTTGATGCTTCTCTAAGTCAGTTCAACTAACATGTACACAATATTGTTTTGTTTGAAATGTAACATATGGGATTGAATTATCAATTGGAGTGTTATCGTGTTAGGTATTCAACGAGCCGGTGATATTCCTGGGAGTGGACGTGACGCACCCGCCGGCGGGCGACAACAAGAAGCCGTCCATCGCGGCCGTGGTGGGCTCCATGGACGCGCACCCCTCGCGCTACGCCGCCACCGTGCGCGTGCAACAACACAGGTATTGCTACCTAGCTCTCATGTCTACCACAAGCTCCCAGTACATTTATATATTTGGCATCTATGCCAAAATGTTGCTAAAACTTTGTTTACACAGCGATTTCAGCCTGAAGAGGCAAAATTTCATAAAAATATATTTATTTTTCAATGGGGCAATCTTGCATTTAAAAATGACTGCATTCTAGTTATGTTGCCAAACATTGTTTGTATGTATATGTGTGATTTAATTTTGCATGCATTTAATACTTGTTTCTCCAAAACTCAAAATTCATAATGTTACGAGTTACTACCAATTATTGACTTGTGTACTTACTTAAAACAAAAGCTTGATATAAGCAGAAAGAATTGATGGTGTTAGTCGGATTATGCAGGCACGTGTCTTTTCATGTGAGACGGCATGATAATAAATAAAATAACGTCAAACTTGAAATAAACACACCCAGCTCTTTGCAGAGTGTAGTTACGGGTAAATCGTGTTTTTAAATTATTTCGCGATGTTACAGTTTGCGTTTATGTACTGCGTCTGATCCGATTCCAAGACAATATGGCCCGAAACTGTATTTTAGATTCTCTTTCCGGAATTCTATGGCACAAAGTTACAAATTCAATGAGCTATGCTCTTGGTGTTTTCGGTCCATTTTATCTCGGATTCGGGTCAGGCATAGTACGGAGACGCACTTATGCTGTTTTGTTTTTATTTTTCCCTTTCGCTTCGCTCATCACACCTCCACTGCTCTCGTCAATGACAAGCGAGGGCAAGTGTGCAAGTTGCACCGACTCACCGTTAGGGTTTTATAAGTAAGTAGATGGGGCCGTATTATGGAGTGTGCACACTGACTTTTTATCGGCCGATACTTGAATGTCGCAAAAAAATCAAAATATTATGAATTCTTTTACAGAATACTTAAGTCCAAATGTTTTCGTAGCATCGTAAAAAGACATAAACAAACATATGGGAGTGCGCACATTAAATCAATTTACCATTGATCGGTCGATAAAATATTGTGATTGGGGACACGATTCCCATTTGGTTATTATAATGTTGTCCTCATTCTGTCGTCATACCTAACTGAAATAACGGACAGTGTGAAGAAAATATATGCATTGGATTCAAAATTAAAATTTTTGTCCAACCGTCGTAAACAGTGTGTGCACTCGTTTGTAATTAAAATAGATATTATCTATATACATATTTAATAATTTTACTTCACACGACATTAAACAAACTACCTATAGATAAAAAATCTGTAATTAATAAATGTGCGCATTCCCAATGCCTCCATCGTTCATTATTCGAAATAAATACTTAGATACATAGTATGTAAAACACGACGTTTTTAATAAAATAAAAAATTTGAGAAAGGAAAAAATACACAATTATTTATTGTTTATTTATTTATTTAATGATATTATTTTTATTATTTGCTCTAAAGAACCTTTAATTTTTGTATGCTTTATAATTATGTTATAGCATTTGCCCTTAAGCGGTTAGACTGAAAAGGTATTAATTGACCTGATTGTGACATATGCGAACTTCCAGGCAAGAGATAGTGCACGAAATGAGCAGCATGGTGCAGGAGCTACTCATCATGTTCTACAAGAGTACCGGCGGGTTTAAGCCGCATCGTATCATCATGTACCGGGACGGCATCTCCGAGGGACAGTTCCTGCATGTCTTGCAACATGAACTCACAGCTGTGCGAGAAGCTTGTATCAAGGTAATATCAACATTTGATTATACAAATGGACATATTGTTGGTATTTTTAGTTTTCGTTTACCAATATTTGCACAATACAATCCATTACATTGTTTCGATGATCACAGTTGGAGGCGGAGTACAAGCCGGGAATCACGTTTATTGTGGTGCAAAAGCGGCACCATACGAGACTGTTTTGCGCTGACAAAAAGGAGCAGTCGGGTAAATCTGGAAATATCCCCGCAGGCACTACTGTCGACCTCGGCATCACGCATCCGACCGAGTTCGATTTCTATCTATGCAGTCATCAAGGAATCCAAGTAAGTCTTTTACACATCATGTAATATAGGCATCCTCTGCTGTTGAAACATCTGAACTAGCTTATATTAGCGACGTAGTCGTAAATTGTTGATGTTGGAAGCTGATTACGTTGTGTGTGGCAGGGCACGTCCCGTCCGTCGCACTACCACGTGCTGTGGGACGACAACCACTTCGGGTCGGACGAGCTGCAGTGCCTGACGTACCAGCTGTGCCACACGTACGTGCGCTGCACGCGCTCCGTGTCCATCCCCGCGCCCGCGTACTACGCGCACCTCGTGGCGTTCCGCGCGCGCTACCACCTGGTGGAGAAGGAGCACGACTCGGGCGAGGGCAGCCACCAGTCCGCCTGCAGCGAGGACCGCACGCCCATAGCCATGGCGCGCGCCATCACGGTGCACGCCGTCACCAAGAAGGTCATGTACTTCGCTTAACCGCACGCCGCGCCCGGCCTCCGCCGGTAACGTTTGCTTCGCTCCGACGACCTTGTAACGGCGATGCAGGTAATCTTAGTTGAGCGTGCAAAACTGTTGGGGCTTCTCTATACTTTAAAATATTATCTCCACGCGAAGATCTCGTACGTTATTAACTCGTTCGATTGTCACTCCCTTCTCCGGTTCGAGCAGCAATTTCCCGAAGTGGGGAGTGACACCGTGAGGTCTTCACGTTTTGAGATAGAACTCCGCCTATTTTCTGGTTTGTTCTTGTATATAACGGCAACCGTTTCTATCAAGTTCTGAATGGCCCCATTCGCGTTTCATATAGTCTAATTTTATAAATGTTGTTTAGCTTTTACGAAGATAGCTATCCCAATATGAAAGACGTTTCAATTCTATGAAGTTTGATGGAACAATCGAAATAAATCGTTGACAATTCTTTGATGTATAAGTATAATAATAATCGGAGGAGAGCAATAAATATTACCTCATGCGTGTAATGCATAGTGTTTCCTATTTGGCCATCCATTGACTGGGCTATTAACTATCTTCTATGAAGCATTTGTAGAATTCAACTTAAGCTTTTTAAACAAAATAAAGAAGTGCGATTAATTTAATTAGTGGATGTGTTATCGTCATTTCAAAGTAAATAAATTGTTAGTGACAGTGAAAGACAGACATGCAAATAAATATATTTTATGAAATATATAAATAGGTATCTACAGTAAAACTTTACATAAAAGGGTCTCCGTAAACATAGCTGGTTAATTTCAAACATAGTTTAATAATAATGTGAACATTTTACAAAGCTATACAGAAACATTGAAATCTAACAAAACATGAGCACTTGATAGAGGATTATTTGTTTTGCTGAGTTTTTGATAGTGAATTTAAGCAAATTCATATTTTGTGAAATCTAAAAACAAACAAGTATCCACTGTTTTTCATTAATCTATAGTCTTATATATGATGCTACAATCAGTGAGTAATATTAAGCTGTAATGCCAAATAGTCCTCATTAGGTGTACTAAGCATATAATAATATTTATTTTTCAATGATTTAAATTATCCTTCATTTGATTATATTATGAGCAGTCTATAAGTACCTTTTTATTTTATTCAATGAACTTCACAGAACCACATAAAATATGCTATGTATATAGTACACATTTTATAAACATGCAACCAATCTTAATATCAGTGTAAAGAATGATATTTTTATTTTATATTTTTAAGTTTATTTTTTAAAGTAAGAATTCTTTTATAATGTATTTTTAGCTTTAAGTTGAATCAACTAAAAGTTGGGAAGAACGTACGTCCTGACTTTAGGGAGTTGGTGACAAATGTTTTTTTCTGTAATTAGTGTGAAAGTTAATAAACTTTTTTATTATAAATTATGCTTTTTGGTGTTTTAATTGGTCATATGACAGTGTTATATTATTTCAATATACGCATAATTGCATGCAATTAGTATAGTTCGTAATTTTCATGGATAATTGGATTGTTATTTACTTATTTGTACGAAATCGTAATATGTGCAAATCAAATCGCACTTAATGCCATATTCTATACAATGAATTCTTGTTCTCTAGTACTGTAATATAATACTACTTCAAATTCATTTCATATTGTATAGCGATTTCAAATTGCCTTTTCGTGTAAATAAGTGGCGTTCAAATAAATAATCGCCCGGTTATCTTGTAAGTGGACAAGCTGCTAAAAATATCGGAAATAAATGTATTTAATATTTTCAATGATGTTGTGATGCAAGGTGTGATACATTAATACGGATATGTTCAGGATCGTTGTACTAACAATACTATCAAAATAAAATCGAAAATAATGATCATGTAAGTGATGCAAGTAGGTAACTTGCGTGACTTATTAATATACAATTGTGTTCTTATTGTGACGGCGTTTCCCTTAATTATTCTACCCGTCGACGTCATATCATATACGATAAGCTATTACCTATTTTAGTTGATAAAGATTAGTTTTCGCTGTTTAACTATTTATGATTCATAATTTTCAGAATTCAGCAATCAGTCGCTTACAGTATAATTGAAATTAAACTTTATCGTTTATTGAAGAACTAGATATTTTTGTTAATCACGCTGCCCCTTTTTACGTGGCGTTAAGAATGCTCTCATTTCAAGTTTCAAGACTAATACAAGGTGAAAATAAAATGACGAACATTCGATACCAGCTACACAATCAAATATATAACTGGGGTAGTGACAGTGTCAACAATAATCGAGTTCAGTTTTTAATTTGTTTTAGTAAGCTTACAAAGATTTTACTTCTAGCGACCAAGTAATCAGTGTTATTATATATCACTTTGCTTTTAGTTTATTACGTATTATGTAACAAATAAGGGACATCGACTGTTTACTAAATTCAAACCCGGTTTCCGATTAGCCGATCAATGTTAAAATCAATTTAATCTCTTGTCAAGTCATCTGATTGGTTGACTGAATTATCAACAACCAATCAGAAGACTTGACAAGAGATTTAACAGGAGATTAGTTAATTTTAGCGTTGACAAGCCTTTCAGAAACCGGGTGTCAGTCGATGCACCTTGTTTGAAATAGATAATTTTCTCATTTACCCTCTTTTATTATTATCAATATGTATTTGACATTTTAGCTAAATGTTTGTGGATTTTTTTTAAATAGGTTTGCAACTCAGGTACTTTTTCTAAAGATCCATAATTCTTTGATTACAATGATGCGTTTAATATAGCGCAGCTTTCATTTTATCTTGAATACTTGGTATACAAGTGGTATTGTATATAAGTGGTAAGGTAGCAAAATGTCTAACCACGCGATCCGCAAGCTAGTGTCGCCGTCGTATATTGTATCAGAGCTCCGCCTTACACATCTTCGCAATCTTTCTACATTCGTTTGGTGGCACTTTTTCATCTTTTACATTCGTCCTTCTATTTTTGTTGGGAACATTACGAAGATGTATTGAAAATTATGATATCTGTATTTTTTTATAAGGTTAGTTATAATTTCCCATTAATTTTTTCATTAAAATATTTTTCGTATTTCATTATTTTGGTAGTTATAAGGAGTTGATTGGTAGATTGATGGAATTTCTTGAAACTGTAAGTTAAATCCAGATTTATATCAGCTTTAGTCGTCCAAGTAGAAGCCGTGCACAAATCAATTGTCTTAATTTTATTTCTTTCTTAGTACATCTTTTCAGTACTATAACAATGTGTTCAATATCGCTTTTCTACTCATTATTTAAACTAGTCGGTTAATATTTTATTTAAGTGGACATAAAAGTGGTGAGAATGCCAAAGGCCTTTTTGAGACTTTGTGGAAGGATTATAATAGATAACTTTCAAAGTTAAATACATTCTCTCCAAAGACTAGCCCAACAAATCTGTGTGACGGCATGGGGTCAGAGCTTTGAATAAATAATAGTATTATGCACACCGTACATTACGTATTCTTGTTCGAATCGGAATTCCTCAGCAATATTTAGTTTCGAACGTTTAATATTTTCAATATTTTTTATGTATCTATCTAGCTAGATAGATACATAAAAAATATTGACTGATGATATAGATGATACTAAACAAGTGTTGGAGTAGCTACTCCAACACTTGTTTAGTATTGATTCATATGAAAACAAAATTTCTTTATATATGTATTAAGTGTAGGATATGTCTATGCAAACAAAAAAGGAAAAAAAATACAAATGTCAAATGTGTGAATACTTGGTATAAAAAGTGCATTATTTTTAATGTTATAAATGCGTGTATGTGTGATTTATATGAACTAATACTAAATGTATTTATAAAGACAGATAGGGACAGTCTTTTAGAAGATGGGGCTATTAACAACCAAAAAAAATAAAATAGTTTTGTACGAATGTATCTATGAGATCTCTAATGCATATTTGATTAAAGCAATAAATAAATTTAGACAGGGATATGAACAGGAACATACCTAAACCAAAGCAGAACGTTTCATATATTATATAGCAATAGTTTCACGAACAATCTCGTAATATATTGAATTGACCCTCAGACGAGTTAGCTGCACATCCGCCGGCTAGCTTCCAATCTGTTATATATCTCGGATTTTTTTATTAATACAATCTATCTATACCTACAAGTATATATAAATGGATTGATTTGTTCAAGTTCGTAGTCACAAGAAACTAATACGCTTAACGAGTGGGAAGTAAATTTAGTAGGGCGACGACTATTTTATCTTATACGTTATACTATGTATACATCCAAATAAACATGAAATGCGGCAATATTGAGTACCATGTTTATTATAAAATTTTGAACCGAATAACTTGGTAGATTATGGAAACCAATGTTAGAAAAGGCATACTGTGTAACATTACCTAATAACACCAATCATAAAAATATTAATGTAAGTAAATATGTATGTGTAAAGTTGCTTTTAATAGGGATAATGACAATATTAAAAACATAATTTTTTATTTAAAAAAATCTAGACACATATTGTTCATTGTATCAATAATGTAACCGCAATAATTCAATTGGGGCGCGGTACGTTACAGTAATAAAATGCGCCGAGACGTGACGTCACGTAGTTCGACTGAATGTGTCGTCGTAATTTCGTGAAACCAGAAATAATACGAATTCTGTACAATATAGTCATTAGTCATCATCCCTATTATTATATAACGAGGAATCAAGTATCATATTATAATGTCACGTGAATGTAATTTGTTCTCTCGAAAATGTATGTGTCACTAGATTGTAAAATCAAGGCCGGCTTTATTATTAAATTAGTTATTAGTTGTATGCTTTATGTAATTTGTTTAATAAATGTTATTCGATATACAAACATATATTTGTAATAAAATAATTAGGCATTTTATAATTAGTAATAAGTTAACAACACTATATAGGAGGTCGGATATCCATGTTCGGTGATAAAAATACTTGATCAAATAAAGTCTTATTTAATTTTCTAAATTATAATCCAAAGAAATACAGCTACTTTGACACATAGAGCCCAGTTGTGAATAAAGATTAAATGGTGGCGGCAATATTTATATATTTTATAGTAAGGCTTGAGTTTTGTTTGTTCTATGTCCTCTAGAAGTCTATGTATTGTATATTGATGTCTAAATGAACTTATATGTTGCCTTGAAACACTGGTTTGCATCGGTGTGTGATCAAATAGCTATTTATACTAAACCTAGAGTCCATAACGTAACACTAAGACAGTTCACTTATGTCATAAGAAGCTTTATTTTATAGTTTTCATAATTGTTTTGTTCTTGTTACTTAATATGCCTGAATATGTGGCATATGTGTTTAGAATTTAACAATGCACATTACTAATTAACTAAAATAGGACGCGAAACACGATTGAACTTAATATAAGATTTATTTTGTAATAAGCTATACTAAACTTATAAACAAGGGATAATGATTCTGTAATTTGTAAGGTTTGTAGAAACTTATGGTTCTATGAGTAGTTATGTAATATTAGATTCGAGCTGTTTCCAAATAATATAAATTATAAAGTTAATTAGTTATTCGTTTATTTAAGTGCTATCGACTGGTGTTTCTTCTTTTCTGTTAGAATTTTGGGTGTTAAGGATTTGTTTTTGTGGACTTGGCATAACTATTTGCAAAATATTATGAAGCAGCACGAATTTAATACTTAGGACATAACTTAACTAGGACCAAACGTGTTTGTTGCCATAATATGCAACCATTCATTAAGCAATAACAAGTAACTAAGTACTCAAACATTGTAACTGATGCCAGGTATTAACTGTACTCCCAAATTATCTATTATTGTTGATCGTTTCACAGGTATAGTAGTTTAGTTTTAGTAAGTAAGTTCTATTGCTTTAAACAAGGAGAAAATAATTAGTAAATGCTTAGTGTAATCGATTAAGATAGTTAATAATTTACAGTATCAACATACACATACTTTTTATTATTGATGATATACATAGAAGCAATGGTACAGTTAAGTGTTATCAGGTGTCAGTGTCATCAATAACTGAATTTACTTCGAAACTCTATGTGCCTGGCGTCGAAATTATCATCTGCGTCATTAAGATCTAATATTGAGCACAAATAAACAGTCAAATTTTATATGTTTATTACCTACTTAAAAAAGCAGTAGATAAGCGCGGCAGAACGTATCAGTGCTGGTAGCACGCTACGACGCAGATCGCGAAATTTGCCCAACATCAATAAGAGTAATATTAGAATAGATAATTATAATATCGCTAATAATTTAGCTGTATGTGAGCAATGTAGCCAGTCTTAAACAGTTTACTGTATTATGTCCGACACCCCCGCACTTACAATATATAAAAATATTTACACATTCATTTACTATGATATGTTTTTTTTATTAATATAGTCGAAGTATGAACAAAGTGATTTTATGCAATAATACCTTTGTTTGTCCTTCATTGTTTTAAAATATTTAGTTACTTTGCTGGAAACTTTAACGAAGCTACACATGCAATTGTAAGCTTGATGATAATAAAATAATCATTTTGTAAAAGCTTGACTTAATCATCTCGAGGTTGTTGGCGCCCTAATGTTAACATAGACTATTACTTGTCTAGGCTTACAGTTTTGTGGGTAGTTGGTTAGGTTGCTTAGGTTTTACTTAGGTTATAACCCATTGCTTGTGTTTGTTTGGAAAACATTAGTTGTTAATTATTTTATACACAGACTATGCTTCGTACTCACATAATATGACTCCAACGACACATTTTTATCATGATGTCTTCAAGTAGGGTTTCCATTTTTCATAGATGATAAATAGATTCAAATTTCTTCGTGCAGGGTAAACACGAGTTATGGTACGTCGGAATGTATGTAATATTTGTGAAGTAGCGCTCAATTTGCGTTATATTTACTATAATTGTGTAATTAAATGTTCTCTACCCTAAAACTGCTTTTTATTTCAGTTGGTTTATTTTATACAATACTTTTATAATATAACTGATTGCACTATATCCGCGGTGGCTGGGCAACCGGCTGCTGTTAGCCGCTTGGCCGCTTAGTTTCTTCTTTAATTATAAATATGAATTTATGGGGTTTTCATTATACGAGGTAGTTGTGATAGTAAAATATTGTTTATTTGTATCCTTTGGGATTTTTTGTGACCTGTCTAAAGCTTTTGATAGCGTTGAACACGCGACACTGTTGCTGAAGTTGAAACACTACGGCATTCGAGGGTTACCTATCTCTCAATTTAATAAAATCATACCTCCAGGATAGGCAGTTCAAAGTACAAGTAAATAAAGTGAACTCCCAGGGTGCTAGCATATCTATGGGCGTAACACAGGGCTCGATATTAGGTCCTTTCCTGTTTTTAGTGTACAAAAATGACTTACCTCATTTATTTCAACGTGAACCGGGAATGGTATTATTTGCTGATGACACATCGTTGATTTTTAAAATAAATAGACGGACAGATAATTATGACGATATAAATAATGCTATTACGACGGTTCTTAATTGGTTTACAATTAATAATTTAGTCCTGTAGCGACATCTAGCGCACGACATAAACAACAGCACCAATCACGAGCAAGAGTCTACATCGCGCTATAAGAGTTTTCATCACAATCAGCACCCATACAGATATCCCGACAACAATCGTCGGGCAGTAGCCCACCAGGCACGAACACCTCGCCTGGTCGGAGGATCCTCCCTTTTCAATGGAGGATGAGGAACTTTCCACCCTGTTCCTCATCCCTCCAAACTGGTGACCTCGAGCTTGAACATCAACGCAGCCATGTGCAACTACGTCATAGCCATGACGTCATTACTTCCTCGAGCTTTCAAGCAGCGAATCCTACAGTCAGCCAGCTTCCACGGCTACAACGGGTTCCCTGACCACCAGCATGCAGCCAACGCGCATTCCTGGTCAGCACCTACAGCCTCATCAGCAACTTCGGCACAGCATACTGCACCGGCCGGTCAGCAAGCAGAGACGTACTCCCTCTCCTGGTCGACGCAGCAGCTAGCCACTCTTCAGCACTGCACCACCCGACTCACTGGGGCATCTTCGCAGACAGATTCGACGCACTGAAACCATCAACTGGCTCGACAAGCATCTCACAGACGTCTCAACCAGCTAACGACCTCCGGTCTCGGAGGGGAGTGATGTAGCGACATCTAGCGCACGACATAAACAACAGCACCAATCACGAGCAAGAGTCTACATCGCGCTATAAGAGTTTTCATCACAATCAGCACCCATACAGATATCCCGACAACAATCGTCGGGCAGTAGCCCACCAGGCACGAACACCTCGCCTGGTCGGAGGATCCTCCCTTTTCAATGGAGGATGAGGAACTTTCCACCCTGTTCCTCATCCCTCCAAAGTCCCAAACGACAAAAAAACAAAGTGTATACGATTCAATTTGCCAAATGTTAAAAGTAACGAATACGACATATTATGAAACGGTAAAAATTGAATTTGTAAAACAAAACACTTCTGGGTATAACCATAGATGAGAAACTACAATGGGGGACCCATATCACATCTCTGGCAGGACGGTTGAGCTCTGCAGCATTTGCTGTCTGGAAGATCCACAGACACTGGAAGACTGGTGTACTTCGGCTACTTTCATAGCATTATGTCGTATGGCATCTTGTTGTGGGGACAGGCTGCTGACATTGAGTCTTATCTTTGTCTTGCAAAAGCGTGCCATCAGAGCTATTTACAACCTAAGGCGTTGAGAATCTCTTAGAGAAAAGTTTAAAGAGGTCAATATTATGACTGTGCCATGTCAGTTTATTTATGAAAACATTATGTATGGTAGGAAAAACTTAAAATTATTTGATAAGTTGTCAGATAGACATAATTATCAAACAAGACATAGAGATAGATCATTATTACAAAATAATATTTAAAAATATAAAAGTAGGTGCCAGCCGGCAGCGGGAGCAAGGTCCAAGCTTCCGGCGGTTAGGGCTCCAAAGACAGGAACCTCTTCACAATACGTGCCATATGAGGCCCTTGATTCAAAAGCCTAACGTCAGCCTCTTAAGGTGGTTATCGAGGTTTTTGGAGACTAACCCGTTTGCCGACACAACTATCGGCACAACGATAGCCGAGTCCACATGTCAACAACCTCGTGAGCCAAGTCAAGATATTTCAATTGTTTATTATTCTCAGCTTTCGCGAGGTTCTCGTCATGAGGAATGGCAATATCGATTATCGTCTTGCGACGCGCTAGTCGGTCTACCACCACTATGTCAGGCTTATTGGCTAATATAGTCCTGTCTGTGATGATAGACCGATCCCAGTACAATGTGATATGGTGTTTTTCAAGAACTGGGTCGGGCACATACTTGTAGTACGGTACTTCAGACTCAACAAGACGGTATTTCAAAGCAAGTTGCTGATAAATAATCTTGGCTACCTGATTATGTCTGTGCAAGTATTCGCCATTAGCCAAACGACCACAGCCGGAAATAATATGTCTGATGGATTCATCGGGGCAATGACATGCCCGACATGTCAACCGTCCCATCCTTCATAATATATTTCCGGTAGTTATTCGTAAGGATAACTTCGTCCATAATTGCACATACAAATCCTTCAGTTTCTCCGAAGAGGTTACTGAATCGTAGCCAAGATTCGGACGCTAGAAAATGTACATCAGGCCCGTGGAGAGCCCGGAGGAAGCGTCTGTGAAGCTCCTTGCTACTTCATACCTCCTTGCGGTGATTGACGCTCAGTACTACGGGTTTGCACCAGTTCTCTTTAGCCAAGGATAGTGGTGTGAATCACTTGTCCACTGCGACTACTTATCGATGCATATCCTCGTCCACTTTCAGGAAATGTTCTCTGAGATTGCACACTTCACGGTTGTGAAGGGTTAGCGTTTAGAAAGCGTCGACCCCACATTTCCGCGGGATGTACCTACAACCTCATGACTGATGAACGAGGATGATGCATTCGATTTGCAGTCAGCAGTGTCCGGACTCGCCTATCCAGGGTGTCAAGTTCAGTCTGAGTCCATGTGAGTGTGCCAAAAGAATACATCAGGACCAGCATGACCCACCCGTTAAAGGCTCGCACCTTGTCGCCGCCTGATAACGAACTTTTCAGTACCTTATATAGGTGACCAAAGAAGCGCTCCTGTAATGATTGTTTCATGTGCGGCCCATTGATACCCAATCCTTCCGACATTCCCAAATACTTGTAGGTATCATTTGCGGAGACTGATCTCAGTTTTGTGAAATCTGACAGTTCTAGACTTTCAGATTGCACTATCCCGCCTCGCTCTACATGCATGACCGCACACTTATCAACACCAAACTCCATTCCGATGGAACTACTAAAATTTTCAGTTTTTTTGAGTAGTTCTATTAGCTCCTCCTTTTTTGGTGCAAACAACTTGAGGTCATCCATGCAAAGTAAGTGGGAAATAACGTGTTATTATTATTTATTTAGATTGGCAAAGGTTATTGTTCTTACTCCGTGGGCAAAGCTACACAAGTCGTTAATGGGATTCTGTGTTAAATGTTATAACAAAATCCCAGGCGAAATACAACAATTAAATGAAATAAATTTTAAATTATGTGTAAAGAAAACTTTATGTAGACAAGCCAAGATGCTTGGAGACACGCTGGTCCTGCTCTAGGATAGCAAACCTACACCAAAATAAATAACGTTCCAGTGGTTTTTGCTTGAAGGGGACTTCTCAAGTGAAATTGCGTTATATTGTATAAGTATAACGTGATAAATTTGTAGGTGAGTACTCTGTAACCTATTACAATTGGTTTAGACTAGCAGAATGTCCTTATATCAGCTTGGAGTTGTAATGCTCACTGAAAGGTCACACTGGCGGTGGCACGGGCGCTGGATCGCTTAATTCCCTATAATAAGGTTGAGTTGGGCGATGCTGGTGTACGTGTCAAGTTCGTGAACGGGCGCCGTCAGTTGGGACTGGTCAGCTCCGGACTGTCTATTGTCCTTGAGATTATTTTCTTTTTATATTTCTTTGAAAAAATATTGTGTTACATTGTTCTCACATATTTGCACCGACTGTTTGTAAAAGGAATCTGCAAATAGCTTCACTAAGAGGACTGACACTATACCTTCAAAATTTTGTTTGACGTTCAAAAGTGCCTGTAAGGGTCTAATTCGAATAATTTTTTTTTTATTTTTTTTTAACCCTTTCGCTTCTTTTACCGGCAAATAATTCTCGAAATGTCTTTGTCTATCTTAATTCAAAAACATGAGATTTCTGCCAAAATATATTTTGTTCACCCTAGCTAGTGTGTACCTCTTTGGAGATATCAAGATTTACTAATTGAAGGACGGGGTGGGAGTGGCTCCGGATTTCTTCTGCCAGATCATCCTATAAATTTTTTGCAGTAGGTACACACTACACTAAAGGCAGATTTTTCAATAGTCAGATCCGAGGAATCAAATTGTTGCTGTCACTGTCTTATACAAACATTCTGACGCGACAGCATCATAATTATTCCCCAGGTAAATTGAATCTAACCATTGAAATATCAGCCCTAAAAGGAGTAAAAAAAAGGATTTAAGAATAAAAAGAAATATTTCAATACATAAATTTTATTTACCGTCTTTAGAGGCATTGTAAATAGTTGATTTTTCATAAGTAAGGAAAGCTAAGCGTCTTACAAAAATATCATTTTTATAGTAATAATGGACCTAACAGGCATCGGCAAGTTATTGTGTCTTACAATCATTACACGTAATAAGGATTTACAAAATTGTGTTTACATGTTTAATATGAATACACTGACTCATTTCCTTCATACATGGAATACTGAGTTTAAGCATTGGAAAACGTTTTCAAATGTCTTTAATACCTTGTATCATCAATTTATCATTAATCAGTAACCGTTTGGAATGCTTTAAATAAGACACAAAATGAACAAGATAAGTATAGTATAATATGAAGCATGTAACCAGCAGTCTTAAAATAAACGATTAAAGGACTCGACCACGCCGCAGTGCAACAAAGGTGCACACGAAATGAAAGCATTCGAGATACACGACAAACAATCTTTAAGATAACTAACCATCTAGCATTGCACGTATTTAGGTTTTGCTTTTTGCGAAATCAAAATTGCAATATCATCACTTTCCTGGTTTTAATTTAATCGACTCGCCCAACCAAATATCCAATTAAAACATAATATTCAATAGCCTTATAACAATCATGCATTATCACCGTCCGACACGTACAGTAAACATTATTTATAAGTACATAATTTAAAATACTATCTAAGAGCACATATAAAAAGGGTATTCTTTTTATCAAATGAGGTGCATCACAATAAATAGTGTTTGCAATATCCTCGTTCAAAAGTTGTTAGTGCCAATAGATGCCGATATTGTGGCGCGCGACACGTGTGTACGAGTGTACGCGTGTACGTGTGTACGTGTATAGTCAGTGTTGGCGGCGTGGGTGTGATGGCTGCGGCGCGCTTAGGGCAAGGGCTTGTTCTCGGGGATGGTGGGCGACGTCGCGCCGCTAGCCGCGCGGCTGGCGTCGCGCAGCGCCTCGTCGAAACTTTGCGTTGAATTCGATCGAGAAGACACTTTGCCCTGAAGTATTATAAATAAACCATTAATTATTATATGCATAATATAAAAAAAAAAAAACGTTAGTTGCTACGATTTAAATGGCGATCTTCAAATAAAATATTTGTTTTCATCGCTGACCCCAACGAAGAGACTAATGTTTTCGATTATGGCAAACAGGCAAAAATAATAATAAAATTTTTGTATTACCTTAACGTTTTCGTACGCCGTGCCAACACGTTCTTCAATAGAGCGGAACGATTCGGAGTTTCGCATCTGACCAATCTTAGTGGACATTCCTGCAGTGATACCACCGATAATCGAAGTTGTCTTCTCTGCAGTCGATTTTATCACAGATTCAGTTTTTTGGTATCTAAAAAGCAATCATTGTTATTATTAGATGCAAAAAGTCTATCGATCGGTCGACTTTACTATTTCATTAGATGAGGGGCATACAAAAAGTTTTGTTTTGGGTTTTATATGATCTCTTTGGCATCGATGTGCAAACAATAGGTACTAGGGGTCGGAAATTATTCAACTGCTTATTAAATAAATAGTAGGACCAAATTATGACCTTACATATGCGTTGGTTAGGTACTCAATGATACATTCTAGAACTCATTCTTAAGAAAAGGCCGGAGGATCTGTGTTTGTTTGCTTAGAAATTAGGTTACATTGAAGGAATATTTAGACTTTGGGACTATTGGGAATAGGTTATGCGTAAGTTAAATGGAATAGTTGCACGTCACGGTTCGTGTTACACAACATTACTTGTGACTTCATCGTTCATTCAAAGCGCAGACGTATACAATACAGATTTTCTGACGGCGACGCCATAGTCACCCGTCTTCGAGTGGAGAATTATATGAGAAGGTATAAAAATATTTCTTACACTGACTACATTGCTCCGTTCTAGCAAATAATTGTTTTTAGTTAATTACCTTTTTAGCCAACAAATATAATAAGGACTGGCATGTAAATCTAGTTGCTACTTTTATTAATAATTAAGCTTCGGTATAAAAGAGACCAAAAATTACGGTTAATTAGATACACATGTATAAAATCCTTAGTGAATTGTTAGTCAAATAATAGTGTTTGTAAATAACATAAAATAATTACTGCAAATGTTATCAATAGATGAATGAACGGGCGTTACAAGAGCAACCATACGATATCTGTAATAAATAAAGTCAACAATTTTCTTTCGGGTTAGAACTATAGAAAAACTTTAAATAATCAGGTTATTAAAAATAAAATATAGTTGAATACTAGTCTAGTACTAAAATAAGTCAAGCCAAGTAAGCTAAACATTTCTGCGGTAAATTTACATGTCAGTGCAACTAACCCATGCATTACCCTACTTTAATTAAACTAATTATTCACGTTTTATGTGCATGCACTTGCATGAATACTGTCCAAATTGTCAACTTTACTTACATTGGTGCTTCTGTCACAGCCTGTGTAAGCGCAGCCACGCGTGTTTCTATAGTTTGATAGCTGTCATACAACAAATCAAACGTGAAATAAAATAATACTAAATAAATCGCCACCAATAGCAAGCTTAAGCAAAATTATAATGAGAAGCTGGTCCGCACACCTCTACAAAACTTTAAGAAATTGTTCTAACCCTCGAGAAAAAAACAAACAAATTGAATCTAACAAAGTGACACATTAATGCGAAACGGGCAAAGTTGCTACTTACACTTGGCTTTCTTTCACATTTTTCAAACCCTGATTAACGTCTTCGGTAATTTCTTTCCACACGGTTATGCCAAGTTTTCGTTTTAATTCGGAGCTTTGACGGATCTAGAAAACAATAATTATAATAAATTAGTATGTTTTTGTCGCAAAATTTCGAAGACAAGGTGTAGACGACAAATGCAAAGCGGCTGAAAATAGAAAACTACGGCATGTAATACTATAATTAACTTATATAATATGTATAACTTATTAGTTACAAGTTACAATACGTATTACATAAAAAATATAGATGAGCTATAATTATAATACATGTCAGTTTCTTGGTCGAGTGCTTCGTAGTTGCGAGGTAGGTATTAGGTTCTTTATATGTATATCTTGGTACTGCCAAAATTACAAGACCTTACCTTGCTTTGCAAAACGGTGCGTAGTGTAGCGATCTCATCTTCGACGCGAGCGAGCTCCCGGCTCCACTCGGCGCGGAGTTGCTCTGCCTGCTCCGGAGTCAGGCCAGCCAACTCATCAGGCGTGTGCGCGTCACCAGCTGCACCGGTTGTGGGCATTGCTTCTTCAGCTGATAACAAACATAGTATTCTTTATTTATACATATTACTTTATTATACCAATATATAATCGGACCTATGTAATTCGGGGCAAAGTTAAATTATTACAAAATAGAATTATCTGTGAGTCGGTTCGTCAGTGAACCTACCTACCTACTTGTTCCAAAATATAGGTCCATATGGAAAAGCCGAACTAGACCCCAAGAACATGTGTAGTCTTATACAATTATTTTTTTCATGAATAATCGTGTACAAGACAATCACAGAGCTTTAAAATTGTATAATAGAACTGATTCGGATATTGTATGACCTATTGTTGATGTGTAATAGTCGGAAATACATAGACGATAAATACTTAAATTGCGTCAACTTAAGTATAATACCCATTTGTTACCAGGCGGGGGCAGTTTTAAATTATTGACTTTTCAATCAAACGTAAATTGTTTATTGAACAATGAAGAAAAAGTAGATGCCTTAATCATAAGTGCCCTATTAAGAAGAGAGCAAGGCACATCAGCATGTGTATTTATATTGTCATCTCCAAGTATTTAAAAGAACAATAGATACATCTTACTACTTTTTAAATGACGGACAGCGTATGTTACTGACCAAGACTACAATCACACGTTAGTGGTTAGACAAAAATTTGTAATTTGCAGTTGTGAAACCTTACTTTGGCTGGACGGTCATTAAGTATAAAAAGGTTTAGAGCGGCCTTCACTTTTTTGTGCTGTCGTTGTCAAAAATAGAGTTCGAGAATGCGTTAGCTAATATGAAAGTCCATATTCTTGATATTTGTTTATGTGATAGCGTGATAGGTAGACGAGACACGTGATGGTAATGAATCGGCGCCGCCAATGGACACTTACAAAATCGAGGGGATCGAGCACAAGTGCTTTGCCGGTAGGTATATCCGGGGTTAGGTTCGGCCTCTAATCTCCAGTTTCCTCACTCCCATACACAAACAACACAAGCATAGTTTCACGCCGGTTTTCTGTGAGGCCATTATATCACTCTGCTCGAGCAGATACATTCGTGCCGAAGCATAGCTCTTAAAAGCTTGCAAATTCAGGTTTAAGGGCCGTAACTACTACTCGAATGAAGGAAATACCTAGGTATTTTCTAATATTTTGAAAAAATATGTGATATTTTATGAAGTTACGCTATAACTTAATAAGTGCATTATTATCACATTAATTTTCCAATACTTGTAACTAGGGTTGCCACCCGTACTTTATAATAAAGTATTGTACTCTATTTCATATAATTGTACTCTATACTTTATGAGAACAATAAAGTACTTACACGAAAATACTTTATTTTGTATGATTTGTTTTTTTTGGGATTTTGAAAAGTCTGTGATGAACAGCGAGATGACGAGATGAAAGAAACAAAGCGTTTCTGAATTTAATAAAGACTGTAAAGATGTTTTAGTAGAGATACTTATTTAATGCAAACTGCAAAAAGCAATAACAAATATGTTTTGAAATATAAAAATAAAGAAAAATTAATTGTACTTAAGTCCTAAAGTCACGTCATTAAGTCCTCTGCTAGTTTTAATCGAATCTAAGATCTACAGAGAATGAAAACAATAACTTTATTTTTACGAAGTGATTATTTAAATGAAGATCTGGTCTAGTCCAGCTTATAAAAATCATTTACTTATTATTTGCTTAAATACTCAGTAAAGCTCGTTAACATATTTGCTACAAAAACACACATCTTTACATCAAAGTTGACATTTAAAAGTAATAAATAATATCAAAGAACGTTAATTTCGTATACCTAAGCAATTCAAATATCCATGAGTTTTCTATGAATTTTGTCATGACACCGTCCCTTTCAATTAGGAATTTTGCGATAAGGCCCAACTTTATTCGGCACTTATTATTTAATGTAGGTAATTGAAATATAAAACATCCTCAAAGATACAATGAATTTGAACTAGCATAGCACTACTCTAGCTAGATATTTATTATACTCACAGCAATGATCAGTAGTTTGTTCGTAGAAAGCCAAGTTACGCAATACAATAAAAGAATTATACATTGCAACAACAACTCTTGGCATATACACTTTTAAAATGTACGATTACCAAAGCCGGGCCGTAACGAACGTTCTGTTTTACCAAACTGTTTTCAGTACCACTCGAATCCGATTTTTTTGCAACAAAATGTTTTGTCAATAATGCTTATAATAAATACAATGTTTTATAAATACAGCATTTAGGTTTAGTTATGTGGCGTATCAAGTTCATCCCGTATTATATCCTGTAATGATGTAACAGTGTTGATAAAACAGGATGGTTTAAAAAAAATAGTTACAATCGCGAATTGAAACAAGAACCTAGGTATGTGTTATTTTAATAATGGTACATACTTTATCAAATGTTTTGTAAAATTGAGTTTTATCCCAGTACATTTGAAAAGGCATTAAGAATCCGCAATACACCTTAATACACACTTGCGAAAATAAAAAACCTAATGATACTTTTTCCGACATGGGTTTATTCGCTTTATTGCCTTGACCATTGAACAATCCAGTCTGAGTTTCGTAACAAACTGTTTCATGTTCCAAATGTCCAGGATTAATAAGCTAATTTAAAAGCAAAAATCTTAAATTTTGTACGTATTAAGTAAAACTTATTGTTGTGGTAGGATAAACAAATTATTAAGTCACATATATCGGTCACATTAAAATAAAAGCATGATCAACATGCTGTTTATAAAATACAAGCATGTTCAATCCAGCAGGATAACTATGTATCCACATTGGGATATTTATTTTTGCAATCAAAAAGTCATCGTCAGTAATTTAAATTGAGAATAGTCCACTATCTCACGTAGGTAGATTAGTATGTTTGCAACTAAAATAACCGTTACAGTTTTATAAGCAACTAGATGCTCATAATTTTTGCAAATTACGTCTACTGAGGCCGTTTTTAACATCTTCCGTCGTTTGAAAGCTTTAAAAGCATCAAAGATATTACGAGGTCAGGCACAGATCAGATCTAACGGTGCATACATTTCAATACATTTTAAAGACATGATATTGATGAATCTATAGATATTGACCCTCTTGAAATTGCAAATTGCACGACGATATTGCGAAAACATCTTGGCTGTCGTTTGTTGACCAATAATTGTTTCAAAATCGTAAGATCCATCATAGACATAACGTTGGTTCGAAACTACGATACTATCAAAAAGTAGGTAGATACATAGAGATGAGTAAGAAAAATAAACATGCGAGTGTACAAAGTTATCCTTGTAATATTTAAAATAAAAATTTATGCTCACTATGCGTATCATAGTCTCATTATTCTTTCAAGTGAATTTCGTTTACACACACTTTAGAGTAGTGCTCTAACATTTCTCTCATAAGCAAATAAACCTTTTTAAACTAACCTCCAACTGCGATACCTAAGAATTTCTTGTAGTTTGTGTGACTGGACATCTTGGCAAGATAGGGCTTTGATAAATCTTGAAAAGTAACTCTTACTTCTCGCATTTTTTTTCTAAATATTCTAAGACGACGACGTCGATTATCTACGTAGAATTCAGTTTCAATGCATAGAGCAGAATCAGCAAGGTCTGGCAGCATGCGCCAGTCAGCGTCAGGGTCATTATGTGACCAGTTTGGTAACTCCTCCAGTTCATCTAATTCATCTACGGCTACATCGAAACTCGGCGTGGAGTCATCGTCAGGTGGCACAAAATAAGGATCTTCCATATACTCCAGGCTCGTCGGCTCCACGCCGATGCTCGGCGTTCCATCACTTGCCATTCTATCTGCCTCGTCTTCCGCGACAATGAAGCATAATTATTTTGTATTTAAATAATCATATAATTGAAAGATAATTTGTCCATATGGGTACCGCACTCAAATATGCACCTTCGCAGAGTATCGAGATCACTTGTTTGCGTATTAACTCTACATTATAAATAAGATATTAGTTACTGTCACTTTACAAACATTGTTTTTTTTTTCGGAATAATCACGATCGACTCGGAAAACATGAACGCGTGCACCGTCGGCGCGCAATGATGTCAGTTTCTTCCGCCACGTCGAACCCCTCCAAGCGAACCAGCTCGCGTTCGTTTCGCGCCGCTGCCTGATTGCTCGTGTTCGCCACTTTCACCAATAACGCGAGCTCCGGACTCGGTGTATAAATTAAAATTTTGACCTCCAAAACATTTGCAAAATTTGTAAACTTTGAAAACCTTGATTTATCAAGTCCGGTAGTACGAATTTAACTGATAAATTCGTACTGCAGGGTTTCTGCCCAACTAACTTGTTTCAAAGAGCCTAACAAAATAATAAAACCATAGATTTAGCTCACCTTGTGCCGCTAAAGTTTATTGACAGTGCCGCAGGCGAGCGAGCGAGTGGAGCGGTCGCTGGGACATGGTAGTGTTGCGTCATTGGTTACTTGATGAAATACTCTAAAAAAGTCTGTAGTTTGCACGACAAATGACTCACAGGTGGTACGAGTAAGTTAATGTAGATAACATTAAAAACGACATTACATACACAGTAGAGTTTAATAAATCTACCATTTCTAATTGAGTAACAGAGTAATATGTAACACACCAAAACCAGAAATTACATTCGTACCTACACAAGGTTGACCATTGTTTTAGTTGCAATGCAACTGCAAATGCAACATGTATTAGAAGAATATCTCGACACATTACCTCATTTATGAAATAACAAAGTTCCAGTTTTTATTGTGGCAAAGAAAGCTGCCAGTCAAGTCAAAGCCTCCAGATTAGTTTTCCACGTTAAATAGCTTGTTTACTGGATTCGATGGGTCCTTGTAACACTGATGACGTTGTCGGTCCATCTGGTCAGAGTTTTGATCATTTTTCGTGGCCTATCAGTAATCGTTTCAGCCGTGTGGCCTGCCCATTGCCACTTCGGCTTGCAAAAGTTAACAGAATGTCGGTGAATCTAGTTTTTACGGATTACATGATGATTTCGGGTTTTATCGCACTAAGAAACTCTAGCACTAGCTTTCTCTCTCTCTCTGATCTAAATCATGGGCTATATTGGCGTATGTATATAGCCTAGTAATTCTTGACACTGACGTTGTAGCTTCTCGGCCATTCTTCATCAGAATTGGACTACAACCTAGTCTGCAATGCATCTTAATAAGATTTCCGGTCCAAGCGCATTTAACCACAAACTTTAATTAGCCTAAGACGCCATGAATTCGATGACACTTTTGACAAAAGGCACGGTAAAGGATTCCACTTCATTAGAATTTATCATCATCGACCTATTTACGCAACGAGTTTATATCTCGTTGGTTTAAGTAAGTGACATTAAAGACGACAGGTTGTCGCCATTCAAAATTATAGATTTATTTTACTAATTTGATAACATATAAAAGATAGAAATTACATCTATACTAATATTATAAAGAGGTAAAATTTGTAAGTTTGTATGTAGGGGTTAATCTTTTTAGCCGCTGGTCGGATTTCCAAAATTCTTTCACTTATGGATAGCTACAATGTTTCTGAGTGCTATAGGTTATAAAACATCACGCTACGATCAAATGGAGCTGAGCAGCGGGTGAAACCGCGCGAGAATAGCTAGTATATAGTCCAGTAATATTTGGATAAGAAATGAGTTGTTTTTTGTTTTATTGTGTTCGGCCGTAGTTTTGTTTTAATGTAATTCGGCCGTAGGAATTCAACTAGCGAATCAAACGTTATGGCATAGGCTGGCTCAGGAGCAGACGTGTCACCTCAAGGTTAGGAATTGGTGCAGCCTATGCACACCCGAATTACCAGAATAGTTACGAGACCATTGTCAGCCTTTCGGGGTTTTTGAGATATAGGGCGGAAGAGGCCATATCTTGCTAACTTTTGATGAGTGACGATTACTCAAATGAACACAACATTGTGGATATTTCACGCACATTCACTATGAGGCAGTGGTTAGCGCCGGTTGAGCCGGTCCATCCGTGCCGTGCTAAAGCATATGACTCTTACACACTTGAAGGTCCCAATAAAAATACGCAATGAACATATTATCCAAATACAATAAGTAGCCAGGTAGGATAAAGTAGGTAGGTACAAAACTTATTCATATGTAGTACAAAAAACATTGTGTTGCTGATAGCTCCGATAGCTCATTTGTTGTTAATTTAAAAAAAAACACAATTTCATGGTTGTATGTTATCAAAATCATCTTAGTTTTTAAGGAGACCTGGAGTAGAACGAGTGAACTAACCACTAGTGCTTTTCAATACACAGTAGGTTTTTAACCATGTTGTGTACTAACAAAATATGTACTTTGAGAGTGTTCCTGTCTTTTTAATATGAATATAGGTGCAAGTATTTATCTCCCCTTATCCCATAATTGAACAAGACCATGTTTCTATGATTTGTTATCATGCCAAATTTATTATACAATGAATAAATTTCTGACTAAATCCTATGACTATACTGCTAGAATGAATCTCCATACATGTCACTAAAAATAACAAAATCAATATTCCAAAATTTAGGTTGTACTTCAAAGGAATGAGTCAACTATTAAATGACACAGACATAACAGATAAGATAGTGTTCACTTTTTAAACTGTGAAGTATCAACATATTAATACCTATAAGTGTGTAAGGTACTTGAGGTTATGATTATTCAGAGTATTACTAACACTTTGTTGTTGTGGCTTTTCTAATTTTCTTGATGATATGGAATTTAATTTCATAGTAAACATACATTTTCTAAGATATCCATGGTAAATATAAAAGTGATATCAATAACCTGAATCTATGGAAACTTAATGAAAATACTGTACAAAGTACACATCTTTTCTGTAATCCTGTCACAGTTAAATAGAATGAAAAGACAAACAAGAATTTAATTAATTCTTACTGGTTTTTTAATATAATATGTGAAATATAAAAAAATTAAAGTTATATTTGAAAAAACAATCATCTGTAGATGTGGTATTAATGCATGCAGACTTTAGACTTGTGCCTTAACTACACATGATTATGGTTAAGCAATAAGAACCTAATACCTGTGAAACCATAATTAAAATTAAATGAATTGCATGGTGGTAGATTTGGTATGTATTGTGCTAAAATCAATCATTCTAATGAAACAACAAACATTAACAACCTTTCTAGAAAAGGTAATACGCATATTACAGGTAATAGGAACTATAATCGTAGGTACTACAATCAGACTTTAAAGTAAATACATTTCAGATGGTAGAGAAAACAATTTTTGTGCAATAAATATGCTGAAACGATTATTATTGATGAAATATAACATTTACTTATTACAAAGAATAACAAAAACAATGGCATCGACAAACATTAACTTTACCTGTTTGTACGCCGCTCATGTTGGTGAGATTGACGAAAGAAACCGCAAAGCGCCTTACAAAACGATGAAGTGCAGAGTGTACTAGTAAACTTAATTACTTCAGCTAAGAGGCGACACAAAAATAATTAAATTACTATGCTGAACTCAACAGATAACTTCGCTATATTCTCTGAGCACTGAACTGATTGAACTGAATTAAAAGTGCAGTACAAAACACGTCACGTCGAGAATCGAGTCAAATACTCAAATTGACGTCAAGCAAGTGACGTCCGGCTATCCGACATTCCGACAGTCCTGCAAATGCAGAGACAAAACAGACCATAAGTCGAATAAAAATAATGTTACATTAGAATCGACTATTTTATGAAAGATTTAGAATTGTTACAATTATAAAACACCAGTAACGTTTATGTCACTGAAACAATGCTAAAACCACTGACTGAAACTAGTCAGAGGAGAGAGTGACTCATGTCCATATTGTTTTCAATTTGCAGAGTACAAAGACTACAATATAATATACTGTACGTGATTGTCCCACATTCTCTCGCAGGGTGGTCCTGATTTCGTTTGGTTAATTATACAAACGAAACCCTCTCTCTTTCGCAAAAGGTGGACTCATTGAAATAGAAAATATATAGAGGCGCCGTGTTACTATAGAAGTATACATGCTTATACAAATATGAGGGAAATATGAAACAAACTATGAAATATCATTTTTTCTCACTCTTTCTAAGGCAATAATTGTATTAGACAAAAGGGACAACAATATTTAAGTTGTTGCTTAATATGGAAACAAATCATTTTGACATTAGCAAAGTTGTAGGTAAGTGCCATATCCGCCATCTTAAGCGCTCAGAGTACCTGAGTTTCATGGTAGTCGTCCTGTCAAACGGTTGTTTATGTTTTAAATTATTGCGGTTTTTCAGTAAATTACAAAGAACCATTTTTTTAAACTTCAAATATATATAGTGAAACAAAAAAACAATATGCCTGTGTGTTGTATTGTGCAGTGTGGTGCAAAAAAGAACGAAAATCAACCTCAATTGTCTTTGTATAGGTTAGTAAACAGTTTTCATCAAATATTACTTAGAATAATCCACATAGATAGAAAAAAATGTCACGGATACTTTAATCTATTGCCAAAGTATATATATTTACTTTTATTTCTGTCTGTGAGACAGTTTTAGTAAAAAATTGTTGTTTACAATAATATGTCAATATGGCATAGTTACGTACCATTTCACAAAAGTATCGATATAATCTCCCATTTAAAATTCAACATATACTAAATAATCTATTTTAACAATGGATGTTTCCGCAGTTTTGTGTAACGCTAAAGTAAGACGTCAGTATTTTGGTATTGGTTTTAGTTACGTTCAAATTATCATGTTTTATAATTATACGAGCGCGATTGACAGAGCGGCGTTGGCGACGATCCCAGTGCGACCACCAAGCGTAATAATAAAAAGTGAGATACATACAATAAGATTGACTTCACTACATATCTATTTTGTGCTAACGTAGTTTCGAAGATATCATCGTTTAATCAGACGCGCCGAAATTGTGCGCGAGCACTTCATAAATGCCCACAGGTTTTCCACATA